AGTTGTCCTCTGACCTCCATACACACACCGTGATATATGTGCCCACACATACACATCATACACACAATAAATTTAAAAAGCAAAAAATTTGAGTATGATTTTTCTTTCTTCTTCTGACCTGTCAAAATTTTAACACAAAACATGCATTTATTAACTACAAAAATAAAGGTTTTATTATGACTGAAATCAAACAAATATTTGATTACTTAGGACTATCCTAAGTAATAAGTTAGTCAAGATAGGCCTCAGGATCACATCTGTAAGTTTTTATTAACAATGTGACTTAGAATGGATCTCTGGATATTTTGTGCTAAAGAGTTAACTCAGGCCAGAGTGTGGCTATGACAGGAAGACTGGCCATGCCAGGAGGACTAACCATGTGATTAGAAGGCTGGAGATACTCAGCTGAACTCCAGAGAAGCAAAGAGGGCTGGAGATTGAGTTAGCCTATGTAGTCAATGATTCAGTCAATCATGCCTTCATCAGGAAACCCCAATAAAAACTGCACACCGAAGTTTGAGGGAGCTTCCTGGATGCCAATACTCTGCACATCAATGTGCCTTGGATGTGCCAGAAAGGCCAGGATATATATCCTGACACCATGAGAGCAGGACAGTGGAAAATGTATTTGGACAGCACAGACCTTGCTCCATGTGTCTCCCTTTGGTTGGTTATGATCTGTACCCTTTGTTGTAATAAAAGTGTAATAATAAATGTAGTTCTGAGAAGTTGTTCTAGCAAATTAATGAACACAAGGGAATGGGAACTTTCAAATTTGGAAGCCAACTAGTGAAGTGTGAGGGGGGTCTGGTAATCTCCAATTAACTACTGGCTAGTATCTGAGAGAGGGTACTTATGTGGAGGACTGTGCCCTGAACTTGCAAAGTTTGACCAACTCCAGCTAGTTGGTATCAAAAGCCATTTTAAATACTGAGGAAATATCTAAGGAAATGTCCCAGTCACTTAACAACACAGCACTTCCCATCAAACTTGTAGTGCTCCACTCTCAAATATGGGAAAAGACTAAGGATCACCAGACATTTCTGGAAGGAACATTTAAACACTCTAGAAAAGCTACAACTGGTAACCTTAGAGATATTTTTAAAAACAGCACTAAAAAGAGCTCTTAGAACAACAGAAGAGGGGCTGCAGAGGCAGTTCAGGAGTTAAGAGCACTTGCTGTTCTTCCAGAGGACCGGAATTCAACTCCCAGCACCCACGTGGTGGCTCTGTAGTCCTCTTCTGGCCTTCTCGGGCACCACATACACACATACCAGGTAAACATACTGGCAACCAAAACACTTAGACAAATAAAAATTTTTAAATCACTTAAAAAAACAGGAGAGACTCTATAACTAGAAAATAAATCTGAATAAATCTCTCAAAAAGTAATGACTATGGCATATAATTGTATTCCCAGCACTCAGGAGGCAGAACTGTGTGTTCAAGGTCAGCCTAATTTACAAAGCAAGACCCCTGCCTCAAAATAAAATATATAGGGTCAGGCACATAGCTCAGACGATGGAATGCTTGCCTAGCATGCACAAAGCCCTGGGTTTGGCACTACATAAACCAAGAGTAGAGGCACATGTCTGTTATCCAGTTCAAGGTCATCATCAACTATACAGTGAGTTGAAGCTAGCCTGAGATACATGAGACCCTGTCTCAAAAGTAGTAGGTAAAAAGGGAGGGAGGGACGGAGGGAAGAAAACAGGTTCGGGCTACAGCTTAGTGGTACAGTGCTTGACAAGCACATGTAGGACCCTGAGTTTGATCCCCAGTACTACCAAAACAGGCTTCACTCAAACTCATGGTTCTCCCTCTCTCGGCCCCCCTGAGTTCCAGAATTACAGGTATGTACCACCATACCCAGTTCTTCATACCCCAATCTAAAGGAAGAAAGAACACGGCATGCATGAGAAATTTAAAACAGCAGAAACCCAAGACATGAGAGGGAGACTCGCAGTAAGCAGTGTTGTAGCCATAGGTAAATCTTGTTTCTTGGAATGCAACAGATGCTATCCATTTGATGGTTTACACAGAGAAATCAAAAAATCAAGAAAGTTTAAATATAAACTAGGTATAACAGCTGGGCATGGTGATAGATGCCTTTAATCCCAGCACTCCGGAGGCAGAAGTGGTCAAATTTCTGTGAGATCAAGGCCACAGCCAGAGTTCCAGGCTAGCTCTGTCTTAAAAAGACAAAAAAAAATCGGTATAACAATGGCATTGTGAGACCTTTGCAGACAGTCTGATAGTGGTAGTGAACTTCCCCAAATTGCTCTGTGTCCATACCCCCACACTGAGACCACGTGTGGCCCCTCCTACTGCAACAGGGCTAGGCTTCTCTGCTCTTCAGTAGAGGCCCAGACCTTTGCAGAGTGCCTGACAGTGCCTGAATCGGCCTTCGCATGGTGGTGAGCTTCATGGAATCGCTAGTATGAAAAACCAGAGAGAATCACATTAGTCCAAAAACCTATTAAAAAATTACACATACACTATCTCTACATAAGTCCATGTGTATAGGTGAAGGCTACATAACAAAAAACAGTGCCTGACAGGAGAAACCTTCCTTTGAGTTGTTGGCTAGGGTAGTCCAAGAGACTCCCCAAGTTACACAGGCTATTACCACAGCCCTTGATTGCCTCCCAGAACTTAAAGGTAAGACCCTATTGCTGAAGATAGGACAAACTTCAGATACAGGATTTCGAGTAATGAAGCTGGAACTGACCTGCAAGTCACCTCCCCTGAAGGCTAGCTCTCATAGCTTTGGAGAGCACTACACAAGCTGATAGAGAGAACATCAATTGATGGCTTGACCCCAGCTTCAAGGCCTAAAAACCACACCAATGATCAGCACAGCAAACAACATTGGTGTGATAATGACACTTTTATCTAGGGAGTAATCAACAGCTACCTAATTAGAATTAAAGCCCACTCAATGGGAGGAAACTCATGTGTGGTACCGTAAACATAGCCAAATACATATAGCTGGCGAGGTCACAGTTCTTAAAGAAAACCCCAAGGCTGTCACATCTCTAAACAAATGTAATTTCTTACTATGTGCAAAATATGGATCCTTAAATTTATAGACAAGTATCCCAATTACCACCCATCAAATAAGCATCTTTTTCAACAGAGATTATTACAGAGTTCCACAACTGGTCACACACAGAAACTGTGAATTGCCCAAGCCTAAGTGGTACATCTACAATGCAACCTCTAAACCTAAGGCTCACAGAACATAGAACAAGGGAAGAAGAGAACATTAATGCATCTTTCAATTCTAATCAGTGAAGCTCTCTCATGCAAAAGAGGGCCAGGAACACAAAAGGTCACAAATTGCAAAATGTAGAGAATAAGAGTCTACAGAGTATAGGTCCTTGAACAAGACTCCTATATTAAAACCTATCCACCTAGGGCTCAGGGACCACTGAAGAAGAGAGGGAAGAAAAATTGTAAGAGCTAGTGAGGAAGTGCATGACCATATGCACATAGAGTTCTACAGGCTCCTGGGATCCTTCTCATATGAACCTAAGCAATGGTGTCAGCATGCACAAGACCCAGGCAAACTCAAGAAAACAAAAACCCAGCACAGAACTGTGGAAATGAACAGCAGGCCCCAATCTTAGTTGAAGAATTATTGGCAACTGATGACTGCTAGGTGAGGAAGAAGAGCTGATCTTCTTAAAAGGAGGGACTCTAGATACATTGATTAGACCACAGTGGATGAACTTGCACTGACAGACATCTGGGGACACTAACTTGATATGATAGGCCTTAACACAAATAACAATGTATGAATTCCAGTGGGGGCTATGGGAGGAAGCCAATGGGAAAGGAGATATAAAAAATAATTAAGATGTTCTGTATGAAATACAAAAAAATTCAATTAAAAAAATTCTTTAAAAATGACACTGTGTAGCTGGGCATGGTGATGCACACCTTTAGTCCCAGCACTTGGGAGGCAGAAGCAGATGGATCTCTGTGAGTTCAAGGCCAGCCTGGTCTACACAGTGAATTCTAGGCCAGCTGGGGCTACAGGGAGACCCTGTCACACACACACACAAAAAAACTAATTGGCTACATGCATTACAATATACTTGATACATTGATATATTCAAAAAGATAGGAATCTAGTAGTGAAATGTTACAATTTCTCTCATGTACTTAAAATATTTTTCAGCCAGGTGTATGCTCTAATTTGCCTTCAACTGCTGTGACAAAACACTGACCAACATCAACTTGGGGAAGAAAGGGTTTATTTAGCTTACATTTCCCAGGTCACAGCTCATCACTGAGGAAGCCCAAGTTAGGAACTCAGGGCAGAAATCTGCAGGCAGGAGCTGAAGCACAGGCCATGGAGTAATGCTGCTTACTGGCTTGATCCCCTGCCCCATGTTCAGTCTGCTTTTTTATACAATACAGAACAATCTGCCCAGGGGTGGCACCACCCACAGTGGGCTGGGCCCTCCCACATCACTCAATAATCAAGAAAATGCCCCACAGATATGGCCATAGGCCAATCCAATGGAGGTAATTCCCTAATTGAGGTTCCCTCTACCCAGGTGTGTCAAGTTGACAACTAAAGTTATCCAGCACAGTGTACTATAGCATGCTTTTAATCCAGCATTCTGGATGCAGAGGCTGGCAAATCTCTTTGAGTTCAAAGCTACCCTAGTGTACATAATGAGTTCCAGGTCAGCCAGAGCTACACAGTGAGATCCTATCTCAAAAAAACAAAACAAAACAAAAAACAGCAACAACAAACAATTTTAAAAAACACTTTTCAACAATTAGTTTAACAAAGGTTGCAAAATATTAATAACTGTGAAATCTAGATGTAAATGAGTATATTTCTACTTTTCATTACACTATAAATACTTGTAATTAAAAAGAAGAAAAAAGTTCCTTTATAAAGTCCTATACAAAGATGAAGAGCTCAGTTTCCATGGCTATATTTAAATGGGAATAGGTTGAAAAGGAGACACTGCTCTTACCGTAACCAGCCATAGAAGCACCATTCTCCAAGGCCACCGCGTTCTTATTTTCCTCTGCCAAAGCCTTCACGTATCTTTTGCTTAAGTCCAGGATCTGCTCCCTCAACTTGACGCTGCTCTGATGTCTTGGTTGTTGGAAAGTATAATGTAGCAACATCAGTCCCCAAATGAGTCCAAATATGAGCAGCAGAAAACTCAGTTTCTGTGACATATTTTTTCTTGAGATTGCAAAAAACATTTCTGATGAAGACAGACTTGACTGAGAAGCACTAACTGGAGAGCAGACTCCAACAATCAAGACTTCTGAGAAGAAAAAGTCCTCTACTGCATATTCATCTTCAGCAGGGCTGCCTCCACTAGGTCAGGTCTGTAAAATTAGGGAAAAGCTGGTTAGTCTAACCAGAAGAAACAGGAAGAGATTCCAGAGTTCTGATCTGGAACTATGTCATCATCTCTAGCAACTTTTGCTGCTACTAATCAGACTTTCTGATCTTTTCTCAGTTTCGTTCACATATATTTTCAAAATTCAAACTAGAAATAAATGTAAAGTCATTGAAAATATCTGAAAAATGTCAGCATGGTCATAAAACCATTTGAATGATTTCTTATCATTCATAACTAAAGCCAATAATAGATTCATAGTTGCTATAATAAAATTTACAAGAGAGCTATCTGTACAAATACATGCCACCAATCCAAATACCAAGAAGCTATTTCTAAAATAAGTAACAAATAACAACAAAAAAGTGAGTGTCAAAATAGAAGTTACAAATGATGAAAAGCAAAACACATTAAAGGTCAAGATGCCACCAGGCATGGTGGCGCACGCCTTTAATCCTAGCACTCGGGAGGCAAAGGCAGGAGGATCTCTGTGAGTTCAAGGCCAGCCTGGTCTACAAAGCGAGTTCCAGGCCAGCTGGGGCTACAGAGAGACCCTGTCTCAAAAACAAAACAAACAAACAAACAAAAAAAACCAACAAAAAGTCAAGATTCCTACCTATCTAATAGGAATTTCCACAACAAAAAGCGTACCGACATGTGAACCTGTCACAAGAAGATATTAATGGAATGAGTTAAGTATAAGTAAGCTCCAACCTAAGATGAAAAATAAGCTATAATTTCTAAGTTTACATCTTATGAAAGCTAGATGCAATGAATACTAAAACAGGTTAGAAAATTTTTATACATTTTCAAACATAATTTCACATTTAAATGAGAATTTGTATAATTTCAAGAAAAGTTTAGTGGAACTAGCTCTTTCTCTTTTTGCAATGCTGGGGATCAAACCCAGGGCCTCATGAAAATGCTAAGCAAGCACTGAGCTACATGCCCAACACTATACTTAAATTTTTTTTAACAATCATGAAATTTGGAAAGACCTAGAGTGTATTAATAACGTATATAAACCACCAAAGTGCCCAGGGAAGAAAACGCTTTGATTTCATCATCTGGAACAAAAACAAAAAACCTGAGGTAAAAATCTATAGTACAGGGCCTGGAGAGATGGCCCAGAGGTTAAGAGTACGGGCTACTCTTGCATATGAGTCAGGTTCAATTCCCCAGCACTCGCATACAAACATGCACCACACAGCACATGTACACACATACAAAAAAAATCCTTAAAATAAAAATAAGTATTTTTTAATCCTATGCAAAATATCAAAGTACAAAAAAAATTACAAATCTCTCTACTAGATATGTTAAGGCATATGTAAGGGGGAATTTTCTGCCCTACTAATTGACCTCTCCTGTTCAGAAAACTCCCTCTGCCATCAGGCCATCCATCAGTCCCTGACATACCTCTACTAAAGTCTGGGGCTCCAGCATTTGAATAACACCCATCTGCTCTTGTGAGGTACATCCTGTGCCAGCCTCTACAATTATAACTATGTCACTAATGTGTATAAAAACTAGAATTCTCTGATACTACTGTGTATGTCTTTACTTACATTTGAAAAATGAATCATTTCAGATCTTATAAAACACACTGGGTTATTAATATCAATACTGGATTATTAAATTTTGTTTCATTGGCAAAATCAGATAAATATAACATTTTCCTTCAAATATATCTCCATTCCATTTGTTCATAAAATGGAGATTACAGATTCCCAAGGAAAATTTTAAGCTATTTCACATAGTTTTACTGGCCCCTCTATGTCTTCAAAAATAACCTACAGGTTACACTACCTATCCTAGCACCCAGTGGAAAAATCAAATGGGAATGTCTCCTGAATCAGTCATAAAAGGGTTAATTCTAAAGTTGGCATGACTACAAAGCCAGAAAATTGACATCCCTGAGAACTGAACGCATAGCCAGCTAGGCATCTTTGCAGATGAAGGTTAAAATGACAGCAAAGAGAAAGGAGAGGGAAGGAAGACTTCAAAGTATATCCAAAGACATACTAATTTGATACTTATATGCCAAAGAATGACAGTAGGAAAATATTAAAAGCCTTTCTTTTCCATAATTAAATCATTATGTTCTGTAAGAGCAGAAAAGTTGTATGTACAGTAAAAACATTGCAATTCATAACATGCAATGGTCTCCAGTCTGAGACAGTATGAGCGCATGCACTATGCAGTGAGCACACTGTGTATTCAGAAGCACGGCTGCAGTGAAGTCATGTGATCCAGCAATGGGAGGCATGGTCAAAACACCCTGGGTTCCTTGCACAATTGATTTTGAATTAATATTTGGTCTCTGCACATTCAGAAACCTTTGGTTGCCAAATTTTTCTCAACACTCACAGAGTTATGTGACCCCATATGAGATCAAAACACACAGTTTAAGAAGCAGGCTCTGGAACTGGCTCAGAGTTAAGCACACTGACTGTTCTTGCAGAAGAAACGGGTTTGAATTCCAGCACCCACATGATAGCTAACAACCGCCCTTAACTCCAGTTCCAGAGGATCTGACATTGTCTTCTGTCCTCCAAGGCACTGCACGACACAGATGCACTTTCATACATGCAGACAATATACTCATACACATAAAATAAATAAAAAATAAATAAATAAACTTTTTAAAACATAAGAAGCAGCTAGGTTCTAACAGACTAAGTATAAGGTCTGACTGTCCCATCAGAGTCAGAAAAGAGACCTCGGTAAACGCAAGATCTTCCCAGCCTTGACTCTACAGACTGTCTACTCAGTACTCAGACTTCAACAGAATGAAATGTCCACCTCACAAAAATGCCTACCTCATCAGAAAGTCAGGAATTTGGACAGGGACAACTATGATAAGGAATTTATATTCTGCAACTTGGTGGTATTTATTACATGATTTCTCATAGTGATAAGAAGCAAAATATTTAGGGCCAGGTTGGTGGCACATACCTTTAATCCCAGCACTCGAAAGGCAGAGCTAGGTGGGTATCTGTGATGGTGGTCTTGACTATTATGAAGGTAACCAACTGGTTCCTAATTAAATTTGGAGTTTGTTCCGCAAAAAGGAATCAATGCCTAATACTGAAAACCTGGTCCAAAACCTATGACTAAAGATGTCTTAGATCCTAGGGGGGAATCTTAGCTGAATTGACATAGCATCAAACAACTCTCTAAAAATCTATGTTTACGCCACAGACAGGGCTCACATTTTCCTCAGCTAGGCTGGAAGCCAGCAATCCAGAGCTCCCTCTGCCCCCCACCCCTTAGAACTACTGTTACAGGTGTGTGCTGGATACCCAACTTGTTATGTGGGTGGTGGGATCTGAACTGTAGCCTTCATGATTATGCAGAAATCAACCATCTCTCCAGCCCCCTCAAAAAAAAAAAAAAGCCTGTGAAGGCCAGAAGAGGGCATTGAATCTCCTGGAACTGGAGTTACCGATGGTTATTAGGCATCATGTGGATGTTGCGAATGGAACCCAGGTCCCCTGGAAGAGCAGCCAGTGCTCGTAACTGCTGAGTCATCTCTCCAGTCTTGATTTATTTTTTTTATTATTTTTATTTTATGTGTATGCATGTATTGCCTGCATGTAGGTAAGTGCACCCATGTCATACAATGCCCACAGAGGACAAAAGAGGCCATTGGATTCCCTGGAATAGGAGTTACGGACAGTTGTTAGCTGCCATGTAGGTGCTGGGATTCGAACCCGGGTCTTCTGCAAAAACAGCCAATGTTCTTAACCACTGAGCCATCTCTCCAGGCCCCAAATTTTGTTTTTTAAAAAGGTATTTTGACTTCTTTGAGAATGGTCTGAAGTAGGATTGGAGAGGAATCAAGGAAACCGCTTGAGAAACAGCTGTAGGAAGCAGCAGGAAGTGATGGTACTTGGGCTACACTGTCGGCCTTCTTCATTTGAAGTGTGTCTCCTCTCAGTTCTTTACCTTTGTGCCATATAGACTATGCCCTTTTCTAGTGTCTGCAGTTGGGAACTTTCCTCTGTGAACCCTAGAAGTATTTGGGAAGTTGTCTTATAGCAAAATGATGATGATAATGATGAAAGTTATAATAATTTTATTTTGCTTTAAAAACTCTGGTTATTACTTGGAGTAAAGTTGAGGTTTTATTTTTTTAAGTCATTGGCAGACAATACAGTAGTTTAGAAGTTGAGATTAAATAATTTTAGGGGGTAGAAGAGATGGCTCAGTAGTAAAGAGGGTGCTGTTCTTTCAGAGGACCCTGTTTTGGTTCTAAGGACCCACACATTAGGAGGCTCACAACTGCCTCTAACTCCAGCTCCAGGGAATTTGACACCTTATGGCCTCTGCAGGCACCTGCACATACCCACACATCAACACACACATATACACGATTAAAAATAAAAACTTTTTTAAAGTGTCTTAGGAGCTGGGGATGTAGCTCAGTGGTAAAGAGCACTTGCCTAGCATGTGGGAGGCCCTGGGTTCAATCTTTAGCACAGCAAAGAAAGGTACTTTTTAGATTGCTGACCATTTTGGTGGGGTAAGGAGTCTGTAATAACGCCATTAATAAGGGCCAGAAGGCATTAACGCCTCTTTTCTGACCTATGTGACCTTTCCAAGTGCTGGACCAGTACTTGAAACATTAAAAAAAAAAAGGTCAGGGGATGGCCAGCATGGTGGCACACACCTTTAATCCCAGTACCCAGGAGACAGAGGCAGGCAGGTCTCTGAGGTCGAGGCCAGCCTGATCTAAATAATGAGTTCCAGGCCAGCTGGGGATACAGGGAGACTCTGTCTCAAAAAGATCAAAAAAAGGAGGGGGTGTTCAAAGTTTATCTCTCATTGGATGCTTTAACATTATACAGAAAAGAACTCACTGAATTTTTTCTAATTGAGGCCAATAATTATTTCTTTCTAATTAATGAAAGTATATACGTAAATTACCTTTTTTTTTTTTGGTCCTTTTGAGACAGGGTCTCCCTGTAGCCCCAGCTGTCC